TTAAAAATCAGAATTTTGCACATTTTGTCAAACTTCTCGAATACGGAAAATTTTTATTGGGGCAAAAATTATAGAAAATAATATTAGAAGCTTTTATTTAAAGAATTTTCTTCTCCAAACGTAAATAACAGATATATTCTATAAAATATAAAAGTGACCCCCTATAAAGCACCCCCCAAAATCTAATCAGTTCACCGCATGTCGGAATAAAGCCTAAGTTTAAAATTTGGCGTTTTTCTTTGTATCCGTTCATGAGTTATCGAGGATACATACACGCAGACACACACACACACACAGACATCATCGCGAAAATAGTCAAAACGGATTCAGGGGACCTCAACATGTAAAAATCATGATTCCTATACTTTCCTTATCTGCATACAGATAGGAAAGTAAAAAGTGAATCTGCCCCTTTATTAAAATTCTGTATCCGCCAACGCGTAAATCAATCCTATTTTTCCATTTTTTTATGACTGAATTTACCGTTAATAGACACGTCTTCTAATGTCCACACTTTTTGCTATTCTCAACATTGCCTTCCGGTTATTGTCTTTTAACATCATATATCTTCTTTAATTTCACCCCTCTTGGTCTATTGTCTACTAAATTGATATTAAAAAATATTGAAAATGTCATGAATTATTGCGAAATTTGATTGGAAGTAGATTAGCGATATAAATAATATAACTAATTATGATTTAAGCTTTGGAATTTTCTTCACTGATTCATTCATTTCACTGATTCATTCATTTCACTGATTCATTCATTTCACCACATATTATTTTTATTGTTAAGTGTAAAGGAAATCTGGTTATTAAAAAACCCGTTCTAATAAAACTTTTAAAAGTGTCACTTTCGAGGTTAACTTTATTTTGATAAGAAGCCAATGAGTATGAGTAAGGATGAAAACCAAACCAAGAAACCAGCAATTTTCTTAGGAAAAATGTTATCCTATGATTAGTTTGTGAATACAAATGATTGTCAAAAATTATTTTGACGCAATACCTTTTTGGAAAATTACTATATAATATCTTTATTCAGCATTATGGTGTTACATAAATATACATTATAAAAATAGTTTTATTAGTACAATTTCTATCATCAATTTAAAACCAATTAAAATCGTTTATTTTCCTCAAGCACGTTTCTTGAAGTAAAAAATATATTTCGAATTATCGCTGTCCTTGGAATATTACTACTGATAATTTGTAAAATCTTATTCAATAATTTCTACTGAAGAAATTTTGTTTTCTTTTATATTATACACAAAAAAATACAGCTGAGATAATAGGTAATGCCACTTTTCACAGTAAATTTTAGCATGTATTTATTATGAGATTGCAATTATTTTAATATCAGTAAGCCTTTTTTAATTATAATTTCTTATCAACTGGAGGGGGGTTACTTTCCTTAGGACATAAATACCTACATAAAAAGTGTTAATAACATTAAATTGTTTCATAAACATACAGAAAATATGCGTGTGTAAAATTGAAATTGTAAGACAGGAAGCAGACAATTACAATGTATTTTTAGCTATTTGTATTAGAAAATGTTCTAAACCACTATATAAAAATCGGATTATTAGGGAATCCCTGTTCTAAAAAATTTAAGTGGAGTCCGAATAAAATACACAAATTAATTCGAATATACATTATAATAAGAATATTGAATTAATTGTGTTTACCTATGTATAGGATTATATTTTTAGATAATAGGTTTAATGTATTCATGAATAAATTAATAGTACAGTAAGTAGCGACAAAAATAACTTAAAGGCAAAATATTTGTAATAAAAACATAATGTATAATCATATGAATTTTGTTACTGTTTCCCAGCGCTACTTTAGGAACAGCACTGTTAATTAGAACATAACAGTGAATGGTCGAGTGGGGAATCCTACCAAGGCATCAGAATTAATTTTAAATCATTAAATTAAATGAAAAAATCCCGGCCAACTCTACCACTAAGCCACCCACCCCCTGTTTCACTTTGTTATTGTACATTCCACAATTTGGTGGACCATTCTTCCTCCATCGTTATTATAAATATTCCCGAGATGAAAAATAAATCTACCATTTTGATGTTTTTTACCAGTATTGATAACTTTATGCAAATCTATTTTTCTTGAAAAATAGATCTTGTTGTATTGTAACTAATAAATAATTGAGAAATAATATATCAAAGTTATATTTTGTTAATTATAATAGTTATTATAAAATACCACTCTGATTAAAAACAAAAGTATTAGATGTGCAATTTTATAGAATGTTATCATCAGTTTTATATCGATTTGCCTCCAACTTCTACCGCAAGATTTCTAAACTGTATTTCCAGCATCCTTCCTTACTCATTGGCTTCTTATCAAAAGGAAGTAAACCTCAAAAGAGACACTTTTAATTTTTTTTCTTAGAATGGGTTTTTTACTGACTAAATTTCCTTATTGCGTAACAATATGAAGAATAAATAATATGTGGTGGATCGAATGAGTCAGAGAAGAAAATTCCAAACCTTATATTTAAATCGTATTTAATTCTATCATCTATCGTTATTCCACTTTCAATATAAATTCAGAATAATCCTTAACAATGTTTTTAAATTAGTTCCATACAGTTTGATTAAAAAATGCTATTATTTATCGATTCTACACAAAAATAACTAATTTTATTGTATATTGTATCTCAATAACTGAAAAATATAATGATAGTTTGATAGAATTGTCTCTGATTTAAAATTTTAGAAATAATAGTAGTTGGGTGAACTGTAATTGGTGGATTTCATTTTTTGCAGTGTTCTCACTAACTAGAATGGATATGAAATATATTCGTTCAGTTAAATGCAATAGCATACTCTTTCGTTTTGTAGTCTGTGCGTAGATTAGATAATATACATGTGGGTGTAGAAAAACTACTATTTTTCTTTTATAAGCATAGGCTTACCGCTGGTATTTTGTCCGGCAAGTCAACATAATAATGACTGTCAAGATTCTTAGACGACAATTTGATATGCCAATTCGGGTCAGACGTCGTTTCAAGCTCGTTCTTAAATCTTTAAATAATGTACTGCAAAATTTCGATACGATGCATCCCGATTTTTTAAGTACTAATGAAATCAATCACATTCAGTTTAAATTGAAGCTACATACCAAATTTTATAAAAATCGAACAAAACGTTTTTGAGTTATTAAAAAAAATTGCAAATTTATTTCAATTTTGAAGCTTCCTCACAGGCAAACGAAGAACTTTGTGATACAGGTAATTTTAAGCGGAAAATATTGAAGAAGTCTGCAGAGGTTTCTTCAACGTCTTCCCAACCAAATATACGTTACTCAAACTCCTCTTCTTCACCTTCAGGGACTTCTTCAACGCCTCCTCTAGTCCTGCATCACTCATTCAGTTCCTTAAAGTGGTCTGATTCCCTTACTTTTCTTCTACTAATCTATCTTTTAATTTTAATTAATAAGTACCTGCATAAACTTCATATCGCACAGCTCTTTAGTTCACCAAGCTGCACCTACTCGTTTTGCAGTACCTTTCACCCAATAAAAATCGAACAAAGAGTTTTTGAGTTATTAAAAAAATGTTCTTCCAACTTTGAAGCTTCCTCAGAGGCAAACAAAAAACTTTGTGATGTAGGTAATTTTAACTCAATCGACATATTTTAATCTCACTATGTACACGAAATTTTAAACACACTGTACATATAATTAATTTATTTTGGATTACAAACAATGTATTCTAATTTAACTGCTTCATCATGGGAAAAATAAAACTGATAAACAGTTTTTCCTGAAAACGATAAAGTAATTAAATAGTAATAAAACAGTAACACTGCCACCACGATTTTAAACTAAAAAAAAGCAAACTTAGTCACGGAAAAAAATCTATAATCGTATTAATAATCGTAATCACAATATTCATTCGGGTCAAGGTACTAATAGTTTCAGATTCCTAAAATTATTAGTATTCAAATTAATTTGAATCAGTATTACAATCAACAAAAAGAAAGAAGAAGAATACGTTATATAAGTTAGTTAGATATCCGATAGATAGATTATATAGCTATATAGATAGATAGATAGATAGATAGATAGGGTGAAAAGAAACTGGGTGAATAGAACATATGGCGAGGTAGACTACTGACTCACCCAGGGCCTGACAAGCCATGGAGGTTTTAACAAATACCTCTTTGATCGAAACAGAGCAGCAACCGACAGTTACAGGTACTGTCAAGAAATAGATGACGCGGAATATACCCTTTTCATATGCTCTAAGTGGGAACATCAACAAATATTATTTGAAGATACAATGGGGTATACCTTCAACCCAGAAAATTTAACACCCAGTCCACTGGATTCTGAAGCAAGATGGAAAGCAGTCTACAGTACAGTCCGATCGATTCTAGAGACAAAAGAAAAAGACGGTAGAAACTGACAAAACCAGATACCAAAGACAACCTCCTTTTCCGAAGTAATACGAGAGCGGTTCCAGAAAAGGAAGGTAGGGGTATGAGGTGAGGTTTAGTGGGTAAACAGGGACTTGCACTGAAAGAGCCCTGGAGTCCCACACTCCCTGTCGCGATAGGTTTAAGATCAGATACCAAGCGCGGGGGCCAGCACATAAAATGTTCTTCACCCGACAAAAAAAAAGATATAGATAGATAGATAGATGGATGGATAGATAGATAGATAGATAGATAGATAGATAGATAGATAGATAGATAGATAGATATAGATACATAGATATACGAATTTTTTAATGTACTTAGAAAACATATCAATTTTATTGTAAAAGCGAAAATTTACTGAATTTATTTTCCTTTTTTTTTAGATAAAATATGTGTAGCATATAAAATGTTCTTCACCCGACAAAAAAAAAGATATAGATAGATAGATGGATAGATAGATAGATAGATATACGAATTTTTTAATGTACTTAGAAACCATATCAATTTTATTGTAAAAGCGAAAATTTACTGAATTTATTTTCCTTTTTTTTAGATAAAATATGTGTAGTAGATGGAAAAGGCTCGTTTAAAAAATCACTAACATATTGTCCCGAATTAGATAAAGAAACCGACAGCAAAGTTGAATGTGTGGTTGCACCAGATAGGTAGGTAATTTTATAAGTTTATGATCTATTCAAAATAAAATTCTCACCGAAAATGAAGACACAACTTAGTTCCAATTCTTTTTACACCTAATCCTTCAAATTTCCCTTCCTATCAAAGTTGAAGTGTGGCAGAACTATGTCCCTACCATTATTAAGTAATCATATTAAATGATATTGTGTTTTAGAACTGATTGTCTAAGGCAGATATTGAAGGGTAAAGCAGATTTTTCCGTTTTCTATCCAGAAGATTTGATTTCGGCGAATAATGAAAAAATAGAGATTTTGGTTACAAATGAAGTTCGGTATACTGATGGTAAGTATATGAATTTATTTTTTATTGTAATTAGATAAGTTGGTGCTTCTAGCCCTAACGGGTAATACTATTTGACCGAAATGTCAAATAGCACTCCACTGGCTTCTTACCACTTCAAGCATCTTACACTGATCAGCATTATATTCTTGTTTCTCCTAACTTTATTTTATTACTGTTCTCTCTTTTATACTGTTTTACAGTAAACGCCAAATCTAAAGAACCAGCGCAAATGCTCAAGTTCGTTTACTTAAAAATCGCCACGCCCGTTCACAATTTGAACCTTGTCCTTGCTTACGGTCAGTAGCGTAACGACTAGATCATTGTTTGTTTCTTGTTTCTGTGTTTTGGTTAAAGTGACTGGTTTTATTTTTGATAATGTCTTCTATTGCGGGTGAAAAAAAGCGCAGAATTAATATACAATGTTTTTAAATATTTTGACGCAACAAACAAGGAAGGAGTTAGTTTAGATGATATCAAACTTCAAACTGCACAAGCAACAGGTAAACATACTCTGTAGTTTATTTGCAATTAAACTTGCGTAGTTTTTAATATTTTTTTGTATTTTACACACATATCTATGCATTTTATTTTTAATTAATATTTTATATTTAAATTTTTTTAAATTTGTCTTCTGTTTCTAAAGATTTTTGTTTCCTAATAAATGAAAAAAAAATACTAAATATAACATTAATATAATATTACCGTTAAAAGAAATTTGAAGGAAGGTAAACAGTCAATGGAAACAACTGGAAAAATTACATTTTCCACACCTAGGAAAAACTTCGTCAAAAAATCAACCGCTACGAATCTCCCTCAATATCAATTGAGGGACATTCGAAGAATAATTTATGATTTTCATATAACAGAAAAGTCTTGTGTTACTGTTAAAAGGTTAAATAATAAAATTAAGGAAGAATTAGATATCCACATATCCTTAAAAAAAATTACAATTTAAGTGGAGAAAGACACAAAATAATCGTAAAGTTTTGGCGGAAAAAATGAAAATAAGAACTTTAAGAGTAAAATTTTTGAGACATAAAATAGTTTAGAAGTCAAAATAGACCAATCGTTTATTTAGATGAAACATATACACGGCGGACATACTTCTTCCAAGAATTGGACAGACGATTCAACAAAAGTTTTGTTTTCTGTTATTTCTAAAGGCCATAGGCTTATTATAGTTCACGGTGGGGGGAGAAATGGGTTTTATTAAAACGACTTACCTAAAAATTAATGATTTTTTAATTCTATTATAATTATGTACTAATAATAACACTAAGCAATATGTATGAACAAGCATCATTCACTATTTTCCATTTATTTTGTCTTAAAATATACGCGCCCCTGGTTTACAACTTTCTAGGTAAGCTACCAATTCTATTCATCGGTAGGCGTGTTCGTAGCATTATAAATGCGCGTCCTTGGTTCTTTAGATTTGGCGTTTACTGTACCTTAACACTTTTTTATATACTATTGTATGTTATATTTAGTCTAAAAGAAAAAATGTAAATATATTTTGCAATTTAACGTCAGATTAGGCACGATTTATCAAAAATATTTATGAAGTTTTTAAATTAAACTCATTAAATTATCATTTCTTTATGTATTTTTTAATTATTAAAATTTAGATCCATTCGAATACGAAGTAGTTGCAGTAATCGATAACAAATCTGGAATAAAAAGCAGACATGATCTTAAGGGAAAACGTTACTGTCATCCAGGTTATGGATATGAAACGGATTGGACCAGAATATTATCAAACGTAAGTATTTTTCATTAATGTTCGGAATAATATAAATATTGATCTCATCCTGTACATTGTAGATAAAAAATAAATCATTATGTATCTTATCTTTATAAAAGATCGTAGTAGTGTGAAACCCGCTGGTTTAAACACATTAAAAAAAATATTCGCTGGAAGAACATTGATCTTCAAAATTTTCTTTCAATTGTGCTATATCCCTTGACTTTTGAGCCTCAGTTTTAAGAGCTGTCAAATTTGTACTTATTTTAACAAATTATATTTTCTTTTAGTATTTCGAAGCGTCAGTAGTCACTCCCTCTTGCGATACAAATTTAACTCTTATAGAAAATAGAATCAAAGCTTCAGAAAAATTTTTTGGTCCAAGTTGCAAAGCTGGTCCTTGGGTAAATGATGTCGTCATGGATGTGAAGCTGAGTAAGTTATTTGCATTCTTTTTTTAATGAGAAAATTTCATATTGCAATTTTTAGAACATAAATATTCTAGCCTATGTGCACTTTGCGGTGACCCGATCAAATGTACAATGCAAGATAGGTATTGGGGAAGAAGAGGTTCCCTTCTTTGTCTTACAGACGGAGCAGGAGAAATCAGTTGGGCTAGGCTCGATGATGTTAAACCACATTTTGGTCTAGTAAAAGGAACGGCTGAAGCTACTCCAGAGGACTACAGCTTTTTATGCCCTGACGATACGGTATTGCCTTTAAATACGTCGAATCCATGTGTATGGGTGGTTAAACCTTGGCCTGTGGTAGCAGCAAGAAGGTAAAGTAGAACATTCTTCAGTAATAGATATGATTTGATCAATAGTAATATTTGTTTGTAGATCTGCAGCTGATGAAATTCAAAAAATCGTGTCCCCTCTTTCACATAACGGGCCAAATTCATGGAGAAACAGTCTGTTGAATCTTCTTGAAACATCTTATTCCACAATACATAAGCTGCCTACTTTGCAACCAATAGAAACATATTTACATGATGCCCAAGGTATTTATAATCATAAACTTCCTGAAGATAGTTGAATCTTTAATTCATCGTAGGAACTTAAATCAAAATTTAGTAATTTTTTTTATCATTTATGTTATTTTGTATCATCATCATTTAGATCTAGATTTTGGTATGTGATAAGTAAATTTTAATAATCTCAATAGATGAAATGTAAGAAAATCAAACCTTTGCTAATATGTCCATTGAGTTCTAGTGTCATCTAGTTCTTCAGTTGAGAGACGTTGAAGAAGCTTCTGGAGACTCAAAGACGAAGAAGATGAGCTAGTGGGGTCACGTAGGACCAGCGAAAGACATTGAAGAAGTCTGCAGAGGCTTCTTTAACGTCTTCCTAACCAAAGATAGTCCTCCGTTACTCAAACTCCTTTTCTTCATCTTCAGGGGCTTCTTCAACGCCTCCTCTAGTCCTGCATTACTCATTCAGCTCCTTAACTCGATATACATGTTACCAAAGTGGTCTGATGCCCTTACATTTCATCTACTAATCTATCTTTTAATTTTAATTAATAAGTATCTGCACAAACTTTATATCGCACAGCTCTTTTTGAAACACCTTCACCCAATTATTCACCTTTACTACTTTGTTTCAGGTTATTTGAGTGCAAATAGTTTCTCTGGTTGCCATCCACCACGAACTATAAGAATTTGCGCCAAGTCTGTATTGGAATTCGCGAAATGTGGATGGCTACGAGAAGCAGCTGCAGTTTATGGAATCGAACCCGATATAGAATGTATTAAGGCTGATAATGTTACTCATTGTATGACAGCACTTAATTTTAATGCTGCCGATGTTGTTATGGTACCGTCTGATGTGGTGCATATGGCAAAAACGTAAGCACTAATTTTTTTTTGTTCAACAGCTTCACTATTACTGTCATCTCATATGTTATGTTGTGTTGAGAATGGGGTGTTAATACACTGCGACCTAAAAGATCTATTGTGCCCCTTCTGTCGCCAATGCACTAAGGAAATCTCTCAATACCTATAACAATCCTTCCAATCCTATTTTCTCAAGAAAGCATAGGATTTGAAGTGGCTTCAAGTTAGGTAAATCTCCCTCTTCTATTTGATATTCTCCTAAATATAATGCCCTTGGATTCTGGAGTGCTACACAGTCAGTTAGGATGTGAATGGAGCTTTCATCCTCCTCACAGAATCTGTCCTTTTAGTCGGCAATGCCCGGTAAGGATCCCTGTTACAATACGTAGCCTGTTCTTGCTCAGGCAGATGCAGGCTTCCGATCTTTTCTGGTTATATTCACCCAAAAGTATCTTGACCTGTCTCAGCCTCAAGAGTTTGTTCCAATCATCGGTTCTTCTACTGCCCAATTCTCTTTTAATCTCTCCTAATAGTATGTTACTGCTGATACCGCAGAACGGCTCAGATCCTACAAAGGGTGTTTGAGCCCCTTTCCTTGCAAGACTATCTGCAATCTCGTTACCCTGTACCCCGTTATGTCTCGGGACCCAAGTGAGAGTAACTATATTTTTCTCGCCTAGCTCATTCAATTGTTCTTGGCATCTCCATACCATTTTTGAGCTGATTACGTAAGAGCTCAGCGCTTTGATAATAATCTCTTGTTTATGATAGTTTCTCTCGATATTAAACTAGATACACTTCTCGATGGCGTGAATTTCCATCTATAAGATGCTTGGGTATTCTCATATATACTAAAAAAGGTATGGGGTTTGTAACGGGAGCTCCAAAAGTGTTACTTTTACCAAAATTAATTTTCACTTAGAATTAGACAAGTGGCTGCCAAATAAAAACCAACCTATATTTCAGTAATGCCAACTTCCCTCAGCAACGCCACCTGCCTTCAAACACGGGTACTTATTGATCCACCCTCGTATATTTGAGAGCTCGTCTCATTGTGCAGACAGACTTAATTATATTTACTTGAATTTTCCATTGGTCTAGGGTCTATACAGTTTTGAAGTAAGTTGAGGTAGTAATGCAGTTTTTCAATTGGTCTATTGGGTCCAGATCTATTTACATAATACCTGTATCGTCAGCTATGAGTGTCTTTTATTTCAGGGTTTAACTTAATTTTTTTGGACTAACCATTCTTATTTTTCAAAAAATGTAGTCCTAAAACATGTTTCTACGAAACTGTAGTCGAAAATAATAATTTACTAACGTTCAACAGCAATTAGTTTATATAATCAAGTTTTTACCGTTTTTTCTCTCACGGGGCTCTGACTATGTCTCCGAATAACACTGAGGCCTGTTGGCTTATTGTTTTTTACCCCATGTTAGTTCATAGCACCCCCACTATGTCACCTTTGTACCTTGTACAAGTTTGTACAGATCCTTGGGTGAGTAGGTTCTATACGTTGTTTGATCAACCTGGGGTTGTCCAAAAAGAGCCTGTCTTTTGCGATCTAGAACTCCGCATTCGTACAGTATGTGTTTGGCCGTTTCTGGTTTCTTGTGACATAGTCGGCACATGAGTTCCCCATTGTACATGCCAATTTTGTTCAAGTGTCCCTTTACTGGGGCGTGCCTAGTCATGAACCCTGTTATCACTTTCAACTAGTTCCTATTCATAAAGAGTAGTTCTCCAGTTCTTTTGGGACATGGTCTGCCTATGAAGACTTTTCCATGTGCCTGTTTTGGGGTGCTTTCCCAATAGTTGATATGTTGTTCCCGAATCTAGTCGTTTATGAAACCCCGGACTGTACTTTTTGGTACTCCTGGATTTGTGTCTGGTTCCGGTGTTTCTTCTGACCCTCTTTTTGCAAGTTCGTCAGCCTTTTCGTTGCCTTCGATGCCTTGATGACCTGGTACCCAAAATAAGTTTACTCTATTTCGGTCTGCCAGTGTTATTAGTTCTTCGATGCATTCCCATACCCAGCCTCGACGTAACTTTCTGACTCAATATGGCCTTAAGTGCCGCTTGGCTGTCTGACATTATTAGAATATGCTGATTTTCGACAGCTCTTTCATTGTTCGTTTTTGCACATTGCAAAATTGCGTATACCTCGGCCTGAAATACCGAGGAATGTATTCCTATAGCATAGCTATGGTTAGTATCAGGGTTTTTGGAGAATACTCCGGCCCCAGTGCCTTCCGCAGTCTTAGACCCGTCTGTATACCAGGTTTGTTCCTGTCGTTGGGCATTGGGCTTCCTTATGATAATCTCCGCTCTTTCCTTTATTAAAACCTCAAATGGAACATTAAAAGAGTACCTCTTAGTTATGTGGTCTGATCTCATGTCTAGTACGTCTCCTGTCACTAACCTTGAGATACTCATGTGACCTGGCCTAATGTCAAGATTTCCCAGTGTATTCCCTAATCTGTAAGCAGCTAATCTTGCCTCCCCTTGTATCACATAGTGAAGAGGTGGGAGGAGTCCTATTAGTGCTTCCATTGCAGCAGTGGGGGTTGTTTTCATTGCCCCCGTTATTATGAGGCAGGCAAGTCTTTGTACCTTACTTTGTACCGCACTTTATTAGTTCTAACAGTTTAACTTTCATTTTTTTTATACCAAACATTCTTATTTTTCAGAAAATACAATCTTAAAACATTTTTCTACGAAACTGTATCCGAAGCTAATAAATATTTGACAGTGGCTGTGACCCGAACTACTTCAGACATTTCAAATCTCGACGAAATAGCGGGAAAAAAAGCCTGTTTTCCAACGTTTGACGGAGTGGCTTGGAATACAGTAAAAAATATGCTATTTAAGAAGAAACTAATTGAAACCTGTCCACTCGACAATGCTATGACTAATTTCTTTGGACCAAGTTGTATACCAGGAATGGATAGCACGTATAAGCAAAACTGTAACCCAGATGATTACAAAGATGATTTTGGGGCTCTACATTGCTTGACTAGTGAAATGGGGGATGTTGCTTTCGTGTCGCAGAATTCTATCAAGAAATTTTTATTAGGTATGTATAGATTTAAATTATTTTAATATAGTAGTCTTCATTATCATACGGAATCATTGGTTGGGTAAATAACTGTTATTTATAATGATGTGTTATTATTTTACAAAAATTGGTAATAAAAACTTATTTACAATAAAAAAAGGATGAGCAGCATAACTAGTTCTGCAAAATTGTTGAGAAAATATATGGTGATTTGGCTGGAGCAGACAGATCAATATTAGACAGTGGAGCAATCAGCAAAAAGAGCACATTTTTGAGCAGCATCAAAATGAAGGATGTGATATAATTTTGAACACTTGCAATTTTAGTACAATCCCAGACATAAATGCCATATAAATTCATTTGAACATGTTCAATTTAATAGGTTTTACAATAAGGTATTCAATATGTGGTCTAACAAGAGAACAGTAAAGGAGTTGTAGGGTTTAAAGATTTATTAAATATATTGGTTTAATATGCCTGGTCAATACAGTAAACAAAATTAATACTGGGAAAAATTTTTAGTATTGTCCATTAGTCCTAGAGGAGTGCTTTCAACTTTCTTTTCCAAATCACCTATTTTTCTGGAGGCAAATTTGAACTGCTCCAATTTTGTAGCCAGCGTTATAAGGTCTGTTTTCCTGAAAACTTCAAATTGATAAGGTGTTTTAGTATGATTTTTTTTTAATTGTAACCCCTTTAACACCCATTTAAATCACTTTTTAAGCTATTGCATAGCTTTTATCGCGGGCTTTGAGCGCGGCGACCGAATCAAGATATTCCGTAACACCGTAACGAAAATAAACCTAACACCCCACTCCGACCGGCACAGCGGTGCGGCGTTGAAACTTTTAACTTGAAAGCCGTGGAAGGTTTTTCCGACCCTATTCGTATTAGTATGAAGCGGAGTTAAATATACGTCTGCGGACTGGAACTTTTATGCAATACAAGAACTAGAAGAGCTTTCTCTGGCTTCTAATAAATTGGTATCACAAATGTTCCCGGCTGGCGTAAATATTAGATATTAATTTTTTGAGTTGATAAAAAATGCTATGCAATAGCTTTACCGCGGCAGTCCCCGAGTACCAAATGTATTTTTTTTTTCAAAATAAATAGTCTTCATCCCCTTATAGAACTTGATTTTTCCTGAAGATTTAAAGTTTCTATCATTTTTCGTTTTTGACTTAAAAACTACTGTGGGATGAGTATAACAAATTATTTGGATATTGACATATTTTCTTAGGTACTCACCAGTTCTCTTTCTTCCCATTCTTCATTGATTAATTTGATTCTTTTATCTGCCCTTAATTTTCGATCCACATCAGTCTTGCGTTTTAGATTTGCTAACATTTAACTGCATAATATTAAATACTTACTCTCTTAAGTGTAAAAAAAAATAAAACTCATTCTAGACATCAATAAAATATACACAATAACTGATAATTTCATTATCTGTATCATAATTATCTCCTATTACAATCGTAGCGCTTCACCCCTTACTGACAATCCGACCTTTATAATTACATCCAATACAACCCTAAACTTTACTAGTAACCCTGAAATTATTACATTACCGCAAAAGGGTTGTATACTGTAAAGGTGCAGCAGCATGCATCATTGAGTCCATAGTTTTTATATTATTGAATAAATTTACAACTGGATTTATAGGGTTTATTCAAATTATAAAAAGAAAACATATGAAGTGATGAATTTAATTTCAGGCGCGTAGAAATAATTCAGAAATTTGACTAAAATATACAGTTGTTGTTAATTTTATTATCTGCTGTTTTACTTTTAAAACAACATCAAAATCTAGCAATGATCAACCACAGCGCCGATTTGTTATATTTGATTTAATAAAATAATTATTTTGTTTGCCTATATTAAGTATAGCGAATACCTTAAAAGGAAATAAACAATTTTTATAAACTATATTTTTTAGAAAAGATATTTGATAATAAAATGCATTATTTGTAAAATCGGTTAAGTAAATCTAATACAAAAAAAAAATAAAATTATGAATTATCACCACCCCTGTAATCTTTATTTAACGTGTCTTCCAAATTTATGATACAAGAATGACTTAAACATATTCGATAATTGTTTTCAATATTCTTGACATGGCGAATACAATTGGTCCATATTTCCATCTAACACACTTTGAGACAACGTGGGAGTGACATTTCTCTTTCTTACTTTTAGCTTGATATTCCTCCAAATCAATTCTATAGTACTGAATGTGCAATAAGGTGACAAACGTATAACGGCATGACCGAACATTTTAGACATCTCATCAACAACATAATGGATTTTAAGATTTAATCCCTTCAGTATAGCCAGTAGATCTGTTTTTAAAGCTGTGGGAGGATATGTTAAACCTATATTATTTAAAAATAAGGATATAACCTCTTTGCGAGCTTTTGCTTTTGATATTTTACCTGTTTGTTGGGAATGGTAGGGGGCATTATCTATGACTATCTCCCTATACCAAATATCAGCGACTATTTCTCTAGAGGTATAGTCGATATTAATATTAATTGGTTCAATTAATTGAGATTTTAAATTTCGTTTGATATCGCAAAGATTTTTATAAACTCTTCTACTACTTTCAGAAAAACTCGTGTCTTAATATTAGGTAACTTTATTAAGCTATTATTTACAAATCTTTTATGTATATCTTGAAATTTTTTACTTAATTATGTAAATTTTAAAAGCAAATCTTTAATTAATCAGGTTTTTATGCATTAATTATTCGGTGTTTACTTTTAGATGTCCTTGACATACAAACATTCGATTTTATACTGATTTATTTCAAAAATCAAAATCTGATATATTAAATTTATTTCTAGATGATCAAGAAGAAAAACCTGGAAGTCGTTTAACAATAGCCGATTTTAGAATACTTTGCAAAAACTCATCATCAGCCTGTCATTTGAGTTGGGCGCCTATAGGTCAAGCAATGATTAGAGCTAATACCACTAATCTATGGTTGCAAGATAGCTTAGATGTATTTTTAAAATTAGACGAATTATTTGGAAAAAATCACAAGACGGTGACTAATTCTTTTACGATGTTTGGAAGATATGAAAATATCGCTGACGTTTTATTCCACGACGAAACTCAGAAATTCAGAACCGTTCCGGTTGCCAAAGATACTGAATCGATGAAGAATTTATATGACACGTCAGATAATGTTGATGATAAATGTGTTCATACGAGTGGTAGTGATACTAATTTCTCTTTAAAAGTTAGCACGTATTTCATTAGTTTTTATTTAGGAACATATTTTATAAGTATTTATGTTTAATTTTTATTAGTTTTAAATAAATTCGACTGTGTTATTTTTATAAATAATTAAACAAAATATTTTTAACATTATCGTTATCATCATTATCATTATTTCAAAGAAAATGCACTAAAATAACTTCTTGTTAAAATGTGTTAAAAATTAGTGTTTTTAAAAATCTTGAGAAAGATTTACATAATATTGAATTAAAAAACAAATATAAAACATTTAGAAATAAATTAAATTTATTGATTTAGAAAAGCAAATCCGAATTCTATAAAAAATAAACTAGCAGAGAAAAAAAATAAGATTAATGTGTAATGGATTGGTTAACAACAATATTCTAAATACACTTTGTTGTTAACGTCGCAACCCATTAAAAAGTTTTAAACACATGAGAAAAGTTTTGTTCTTTAAAAAACAATTTTTCTTGATAAAAAGTTCTTCATCACTTGAAAAAACAAAAAACTTTTCTAGCGCATAAATTTTTTTGGGACACACTGAATAATAGATTGCGACGTGCTCTTCGAACAATACACTTCGTTTAACGACGGGCTCGAAGAGCACGTCGCAATCCATTATACAGTGTCTTCCAAAAAGTTTTATACACATGAGAAACAGTTTTGTTTTCCAAAAAACAATTATTTTTGATAAAAAGAACTGCATCACTTGAAAAAACAAAACTTTTCTTATGTGTATACAAATTTTTGTTACTGTACAATAGATTGCGACGTGCTCTTCGAGCACATCGTTAGCAACAATATATGCATACACTTTGTTGTTAACGACGTGCTCTTCGAGCATGTTGCAATCTATTGTCTAAAAATTTAAAAATTATTATACAGTATATTCCAAAAAGTTTTATACACATGAGAAAAAGTTTTGTTTCCAAAGTCTTTTTCAGGTATAATGAATTGCGACGTGCTCTTTGAGCACGTCGTTAAACGAAGTGTATTGTTAACGACGTGCTCGAAGAGCACGTCGCAATCTATTATTCAGCATGTCCCAAAAAAAATTTTGGAAAACAAAACTTTTTCTTATGTGTATAAAACATTTTAGAAGACACTGTTTAATGGATTGCGACGTGCTCTTCGAGCACGTCGTTAAACGAAGTGTATTGTCAACGATGTGCTCGAAGAGCAAGTAGCAATCTATTATTCAGTGTTTTGCAAAAAGTTTTATAGACATGAGAAAAAGTTTTGTTTTCAAAATTTTTTTTGGAACACACTAAATAATAGATTGCTACGTGCTCTTCGAGCACATCTTTAACAATACACTTTGTTTAACGACGTGCTCGAAGAGCACGTCTCAATCCATTATACAGTATATTCCAAAAAGTTTTATACACATGAGAAAAACTTGTTTTCCAATTTTTTTTTGAAACACCCTTAATAATAGATTGCGACGTGCTCAAAGAGCACGCCGTTAAAAATACACTTTGTTTAACGACGTGCACGATATAAAATATCTGAAATTAGAACCAAAATAAATCAACAGTTTATACAATGGTAAAAAAGGGCAATTTCTCAGACTATACCCTACGGTTGGGCCATAAGGCACATCTTGCAATGCATCCGAAGGTCAAAAGCTAATCCTATCTCGGAATCCGAATGAAAAAGTTGTTTGGCTGAGGTTCCTAAAGGAAATAAACTAAGAGATAGTTTATGCGAATATTTAGACTGAAAATTGTTAACACTGTACATATTAACTAATAATAATATTAAACAAAAGGCTTAAATAATAAGTAAATCAATGGATTAAAATAACGTTTTCAAAATAAATGGACAATCTTGTGTGTTGTTTATTTGTTTATAAAATGAATGTATTTTTCAAATAGTCTGTACTGATAGAAAATAAGATGAATTTTCCTGTATATTAAGCATATTCTATATGGACTGTTACTTATCGTTTTTTATTGATGGATAATTATAGACAGAATTCAATAAAAAACTAAATTTTGGATAATCTAACTGCCGTTTTGAAATATTTTTTACTCGTTTTAAAATCTTTATCAAATATTAAAAATATACGAGGATTTGAGTAAAAACGTATCAACTATATTATCTCAATATCAAAAGTCTAAAATAGGCAATATCAAAAAAAAAAACAACATATCTATAGAAACAAAATTCAGTAACACAATTAGAACTATTCTTATAAAAATAACATATCAAAATATTATTTATAAAATGTTTAAGTATTTTCTTTGAAACGAATAAACTAAAAGGTTTATTAAGAAAATTTTGCCGATTTAAATTGCCGAAAGAAATACTAAAGCGATCGGGATGCGATAACAAACTAAATAAAATTGAAAAAATGTTAAAATTTGCTCTGTGCGAGACTCGAACCCGCCCTCTGGATTGCCGTTCCAGCCCCCAGTTCCAGTTTTAAACTATATTTAGCATCCTAGTTGATTTGAGCATTTAGATGTCTTGAATACTTCGGTTTTCAAATTTCGATTTCTCCAATTTTCGACTTTTCAATTTTAATTTTTTTTTATTTTTCGATATATTGATTTTTTAAATATTCGATTAGATTATTTGATTTTTTTTTATTTCTCGATTGTTTATTCCTTTCGTTTTTCCGATTGTTCGAATCTCGATTTCTCGGTTTTTTAACCTTCGATTTTTTGATTGTTCGATTAAATTAGTCGAAAATTATTCGAATATTCAATTAGATTACTCGATAATTCGATTAAATTACTCAATTATTCGATTCTCGATTTTATAATTCGATTTTTCGGTCTTCAATTAAATTACTTAATTATTCATTAGATTACTCAATTCATTCATTCCTTTCTTATTTTTCGATTTTACGATTTTTTTATTTTTCGACTACTCTATTTTTCGATTATTCATTTATTTGATTAATTGATTATTCAATATTCCAAATTTTCGCTCTTTTAAATTTTAATTTCTCGATATTTCGTTTTTTTACGATTTTTCAATGTTGCGATTTTTCAATGTTGCGATTTTTCACTGTTTTTATTTCTTAGTTTTCGATTAAATTACTTGATTATTCGATTATTCATTCGATTACACAGCCCCACAAAAAAAGTGTTCAGACTTACTGATCTCAGAATTGGCCCTCCACGTCTGTAATTGTCCCCAGGGGCCAAAAATGGCCTCTATATGACCTGAAAGGTGGATTCCGAGATGAGCTGTGGTTGAAGGTGCATTTTAAAGTCAAAGTGGGGTTTATGGTCAAACATTTCACGTACAACTGGAATTTCCCGTGCGGGCCAGAAAAATGGCCCGGTAGGGGCCGGAAAATCATGTTTCGGACGTCGCAATGGCATCAATAATATTTTTATGTACTTTTGAATTCTGGAATGAATACCGTGCTAGAAAAGTTTGTGGCCAACTGTAATTTCCCGTTTGGGACCGGGAAAATGGCCCCTTAGGGGCCGAAAAATCGTGTTTCAGACGTTTCAATCGCTACAGTGTTATTTTTATGTCCTTAATTATGTCCTAGTTCTCGAACTCAGACTGTGCTCGAAAAGTTTATGGCCAACTGGAATTCCCCCTTTGGGACCTGGAAAACGACCCTTTAAGGGCCGGAAAGTCGTGTTTGGGACGTAGTAATCAAGTGATATTCTCATGAAAATTGAGTGACATCGAGGTTTCATCACGCTCGGTTACGGCCTTAATTCAAGAAGTACTCCTATGTGATAGTTTTCCTCGGTATCTAAAAGATCACGAATGTCCCATCCACCGATTCTAATGCGTCTTTCCTTTACCCATGTATTCCTCTACACTCGATTGTCAAATATAAAGAGTGGGTTGAACGATACAGTATAGAGTCCCCGACTGTACTTCCTCATACGGACATACCGTATACGGGAATCTCTAATAAGACACAGTATTCCCGTTTGTGTGAGGAAAACTCTCTAAAATGAAGTTTAGGCTGGAGTTCCGGTACACCAAGTCTCCGGAGGTACGTTTTCGTGATGGAATTTGGATTCCGCGTGCCTATAAAGCCCATGACGATTTTCGGTTTGTCTTTCGCATTGTGTTTGGAGAACCCTCGGAGACGACGTTTCGGTGCACTAGGTGTTCGGGGATCGTTTTCGACATGAAATATGGATCAAGAGCCCCAAAAAATACCCCTATAAGGTTTTTGGGCTTGTTTTTGTCAATCTTGGCAAGAAACTTCCCGGAGACGACGTCCACCCGGTTTCAGTGCACCGGGTGCCCAGGTGCACTAGGTGTTCGGGGATCGTTTTCGACATGAAATATGGATCAAGAGCCCCAAAAAATACCCCTATAAGGTTTTTGGGCTTGTTTTTGTCAATCTTGGCAAGAAACTTCCCGGAGACGACGTCCACCCGGTTTCAGTGCACCGGGTGCCCAGGGGGTGTTCGCCGATGTTATATTTCAATGCAGCAACCCAAAAAACCCCCGAGCACCTAGTTTCTCTCCTTACCCGCGTGAATTTTGCGATAGTCCTCGTAGATAACGTTCATCGACATTCCTGAGCTCCAGGTCGGCTATGGTTCAATTTGAACATCATAATCGTAATCAGCGACCTCGAGAACCCTCAGAAACTCGATTTGGACCAATCCTGACTCTTCCACCTTTCAAGCCGTATAGATGCCATTTTTGGCCCCTGTGGCCGATTCTAGAGTTCGGAGAGCCACTTCTGCGTTCGGAGAGCCATTTCTGAGTTCGATATCGGATTCAGCGTCGAAAAATATATGGGAATACATATGTCCGACCGGCAAGTCTGAACACTTTTTTTTGTGGGGCCGTGTTATTCATTCGGTCATTCATTCGATTATTTATTCGATTATTCATTCGGTTATTCATTGGTTATTCATTGGTTATTCATTCGGTTATTCATTCAATTATTCATTCGTTTATTTATTCTATTATTTATTCAATTATTTTTTTGTTTTTTCAATTCGATTATTTATTTGTTTTTTCATTCGGTTATTTATTTGATTATTTAATCCGATTATTCTTTCGATTATTTTTTAGAATAATATGATTATTTCGATTATGCATTCAATATTTCGATTCGATTTTTAAATTGTTTTCAATTTTATTCTTTTTTTTTATTTCATTTCTTTTTATCGATTATTCCATTCCATTATTCGATTT